GTTTATTATTATAACACTGTCTTTTGGGTGAAATAGCTAATTTGCAAAAATCGATTTCCTAAGCGATTTTAATATAATATTCAGAACTTCACTTGAGTTGCAAATTGAAGATTTTCTCTTTAAGAGCTCCATCAATTTCCTGGCTGTTTTTAGAACATATTTTACATAACGAACGCAATAGGGAATTTTATCAAATAAGTAATTAGGTTGTCTTAACTCTTTTTAATTAATGATTTTTTACGTTGATTAAATGGAGTCAATTAATGTGTCGTATCCGTTCCTGTTTAGGTGGTCCAACAGAAATTGCCCTGGGGCCTGATTTTCCTACTTGGAGGTGGTTTTGCGCTAGCTGAAGCTTCGAAAGTGAGCGGCATGAGCCAGTTAATTGCTGATCACCTTCACGGCTTTGCAATGTTACCCCGTTTCTGGGTGATGGTGATTTCCTGTCTTTTTGCAACCTTCATCACTCAGTTTACAGGGAGCAACGTTGCGGTTGCTAACGTGTTTCTACCAGTTTTGGCGGAAATGTGTTTAGTAAGTACCATTCGAAGTACAATACGAATCTGTGGATAGGAACGAATTTATTTCAAGTTCAGAGAGTTGCTTTGTGGATAGACGCTTGAACATGTACATTCAGATTTTTGATGCGATTTCTGACGGTAAATTCATTTTTGAATTTCATTTCGAATCTTAAGTACGCATCATGGACGATGTTCTATGTCCAAACTCAACAATTTCCACTAAGATATCAATAACCAAGACCGTGGATTTCCTTTTAGAATTTCGGTGGCCTTATGAAACGATTTATTCAGAAAAATTAAATTTAAATTTGGAACTGCTGTTAATTAACTTCGTCGTGCAAAAGAAAGTTTTGAGGTAGAACTTCGAAGATCTTGTTACATTCAGTTAACATTTGTGGCTGAATTTGTTAGTAAATCTGGGTGAAAGTCTATAACTTTTATAATAGCATTCCCCCAAAATTGTCAGACCAATTCTTTTTTCTGTCGCTTATCAGAAATTCTCAACCTCCAAAAGAGTTAAAAGCAAAAATAAGAAAACGTAAAAATTTCAAACGTCTTACATCTCAAAAATAATCAAAAATCTTGTTCGATACCTATCAGTTTCTCTTGAGGCGTTAGCCAAATCCTTAAATTTTAAGAGAATAGATCCAAAATTTAATGACTTTGAGTACAGATCAATTCAAATGTTAAACTTTCAAGGCATATCGAATTTTAACAAGCTATTCATAGAACGTGGTAAAAATTACATTTCCTTACAATTTATCAGAAATACCCAACTAGACCTGTGTAACACTGTGTTGAGTTGCGCTATTGAGTTGTTGCGGCCGTCTGAGTTACCGAGTTATTTCATTAGTTCATTGGTTAATGAGTTATAATTCATTTATTAAAACTTTACCAGACCCGAGACTGGAATTTTCACATCTAAAAAAAAGGTCACCAACATTTTTTCTGCGTAACGTTTTACTACTTTGTTCAAACAACTAAAAAAATCATCTAGATTTTTCCTGCAACAGAACTGAGTCCAAAGAAAGTAAACGAGTTTTCTTGTTAAATCCAGTTTGCCAATATTTTACAGTAAACCGTTAGCAAAAACGCGGTTTTTCTGTTTAGACAGGGTTGATTAGAAATATTTACATAAAAGTGAAGAAACCCCAGTTTCCAATAGTTTTGCAAATAAATGATTATAAACTTTTGTTTTTTCAGTTCGGGGAAGTATTTTTGGAAAAACACCTAGAAATAATTATTACGGTTTTGTCAATTCGAAGCTGCAAAAAGTTTTCAAAATTTTTTTGCAACGCTGTTATGGAGGCTAGTGTTCCAATAAAATGTATTGTATACTTTTTCACAGAAAATACCTGATTGTCAGTATTTTAAGTAAAACTAAAAAATAATGCAATTTTTGGGTAGAAAAAATTGTTTAATAGAAACTTTGTTAGAACTGTAATGCTCTGAAAATTTAAAGAAACTCTTGCTCTCTGGTTATTTCTTCAAGAGAATCCTAATTACTTTCGATAAAAAACTTAATAAAATGATTTGGTTTTTCTGTCAAATTCGAAGCCGAAATACGTTTTCTAAAGTTCTCTGCAAACCGATGAATGAGGCGAATTTTCTAACAAAATTAATTGTCATTTTTGGCTCCCAAAAATCCCATTAGTGTCAGAAAAGAAGAAAATTATCAAAAAATAATGCTTTTTTGCGATAGATCGAAAAAATCAGTCAAAACTAAAAAACCACATTTTTTTCCTTACTTTTTTGTTATAGAATTTGTGGTTCATTAAAAAACCACAAATTCTATAGTCTTCAGTTGAATGGAGGTGACGAGATTTCCAAATAATCTGTTCTACTTTCGCTTATTCTGTTCGTTTTTTGATAGAAAATTATTGGATTTTTGTTCCAAATTCGAACCTGGCAAGGGGTTTTAAAACTTTTTACAAAGGGACGAAGGATTCGAAATTTATTCATAATTTTTCGCGGAAAATACCTTAAGATTGTCAGCATTTTTAAGTGAAACTTTAGAAAATTGAGCATTTAGAAGAAAAAGTAACTTGGCCAAAACTGGAAAATTCCGAAAAGACATTTTAAAAATATTATTAATAAATGGCCTTTAAAATAAATCAAAAACATGTAAAAAAGTCACCAACATTTTCCCAGCAACGGAACTGAGTTACTCAGGCCTATATCCAACCTGTTGGACTAAACAAAACTTAAAAAAACTCATACTAATCTCAATAAATGTAAGATATTTTTGCAAGATTAATTTTCCAAAAGTGTTTTTCTACAGCCCTGGTTTGCCAGCTTTCACTAATAAGTCATGCTCTGAGCGTGAAATTTTTTGCTAATAAAGGTGTTGTAACCCTTTGCAAAGCCTGTTATTTTGTTAGCACCACTTTGGTAGAAATACTTATTTAATTGCATCCTGGGCGACTTTGTATAATTTCCAATTCAACAATATTCTGATTTTTAAAGATATTTTTACAAAATGTTACTTTGAATTTAAACGGTACTCGTACTTTCAGCGTAGGGAAGAAACGTTCAAAATTGGTAATTTCTCGAGAGGTAAAATAAATAATGTAGGTGATGCCGAGTGCGTTATGTAGGAGCCAAAGCTTTCGTAATTATGTTTGGAGTTATATATACACATTGTTGAATGAGAAAAGCGCCTTCTTGAAATATTCAATACGGTTCTTTATGACCATCTTTTGATCCATGAATTTGACAAATCGTGTTGGGATTTACATTCTTTTAATTAACAATAAACGCGCAATTAAATGTGCTGACGGATTTACCAAAAACTCACCACAAATCAAGCCGATAATTGTGAATCATCATTTTTAGTACCTAACTTCAATTGTTGCTTTGATGTCTTGAATAAATCGGTATTTTCGGGACCACTTTGAAGAAATCATATGTATTAATTATTGATATGCTTAATAGTCAACTCCTTGATAAATGTGGAGTTTAGTTATAGAAGATGGTGATGAAATTAAATGTTCTTAAAATTTGATGACAAATTTTAAGATCTAATTTAAAATAGGTGTTTGCGATTCGCGAATGGAGTTATGGTCGTGACTTTTGATGAATCTAATCTGCATAAATAAAGCTACCATAAAAACATTGTCATAAAAAACGTTTGTACCCCTGCAATCGTCGTCCTAAAAGCAAATCCTGTATATTAAACAAATATGTTCCAACCCACATGTGATCACTGTATAAATCTGGTACTGAACTTTGCGACTCAAGACCCATCGACTTGTAATCATAATAATAATAATGTAATCATTTTCTTTTACAGGTTGCTAAAATTCATCCTATGTATCTTATGATGCCAGCGACCCTCAGCTGCTCGTTTTCTTACTGTCTTCCGATATCAACACCTCCAATGGCTATAGCAGCCGCTCCATGCAATATGCGTTCGACCGAAATGGCCAAAGCTGGCTTGGGAGTCGCTATTATTTCACTTGCCACCTTGTTTGCTGTGTTTCCATTTTTGGGTAGCTACATTTGGAACTTTGACACATTTCCCGAATGGGCCAATTGAACAGCTTACTGTTCGGAAATATTATTTTGTATTTTCAATAATTTACACGGGAGTAAGCCATCATCATTGTACTGACAAAGTTCGAATAGATAATGGACATTTCGACATATAGGGGAAACTATTATGGCATAAATATTGTGTACGTGCCTACATCAACGCTTTAGACTGATTTGAACATGTTGCGAGTGTTTTAGTGTTAATGTTTTTTACTCCCAAAAAATTTGAAAATGTGATAAAATAACATATACTAGATAAGCTAAGATAAGACGTAAGTCCGACAATCAAGCTTCTGTGACTTGAATTTACGATAAACTTGAATAAAGGAAGTTTTATTCCGAGTTTCTATATTCCGTCCTTTATAAGTCCTTAATATAAATATATTTTTAAATACATTTTAAGAACTCAATGTTTGGTAATTTTAAATTATGCATACCTAACTCATTTGTTTACAAACTTCTTTTTG